GAAACAAATATATTCATTTTAAAAGAAAACTTTCTAGCCTGGCTGGCATAGCTCAGTGGCTGAGCATCAACCTATGAACCAGGAGGTCTGTGTTTGATTCCCGGTTGGGGCACAAGCCCGGGTTGCAGGCTCCATACCCAGTGTGGGGCATGCAGGAGGCGGCCAATCAATGATTCTCTCTCATCATTGATGTTTCTATTTCTCTCTCCCTCTCCCTTCCTCTCTGATATCAATAAAAACATATATATTAAAAAAAGAAAGAAAACTTTCTAGAGTTGAAGGCAAGGACTCAGATATATACATGAATATCCATAAAAGCGCTATTCACAATAGACAAAAGGTGGAAACAACTCAAGTACCCATGGACAGATAAACAAATAAGCAAAACGTGGTCTATCCATACATTGGACTATCACTCAGCCATAAAAAGGAATGAAGTTCTGACCCAGGCTACAACATGGAGGCACTTTGAAGGTATTATGCTAAGTGAAAGAAGCCAGACACAAAAGGACAAATACATGATTCCACTTATTTGAGGCACCTAGAATAGTCAAGTTCTTAGAAACAGAAAATTGAATGGTGGTTGCCAGGGACTGGGGTGGGGAGAGGAGAATAAGGAGTTATTGTTAAATGGAGACAGACTAAGTTGGAGAAGATGAAAAAGTTCTGGAGATGGATGGTGGTTACGTTTGCACAACATCGTGAATGTACTTACTGCCTCTAAATTGTACATTTAAAATGGTTACATTGGTCAAGTTTGTTATTATTTTAGAAAAAGAAAACTTTCTATGACTACTTCATATGAAAAAAACAAACAAAACCGAAACCACAGTATCACTTGCCATTGAAAACAAAACAAGGTTATCAAAATAATGTTAGCTGCCTTACCAGTTTGTTAAAAAGGAACCTTAGCGAGTACCACATAGCCTTTAGAGTGCTGTTAAAGACCCCTACACACAAAACAGAAGGAGGATGAAAAAGAACCAGAAAAGCACCAGTTTCCTCCCTATGAGAACCAGTGTCAATTAATGCCTCTTGGAGAACGGTCTTTGGACCACTCACCACATATGTGTCCAAGTCTTTGGAAAACCTCCCTTCTGCTCTGAAGACCTCAGTTCAAATCCTGACTCTACCAACTACGCAGCTGTGTGGCCTTCAACAAAACCTCCCGGGGAGGTTCCCAGAGTTTCTGTAACATGGAGAAAGCACAGGGGTTGGGGCACATCTGTGCCTCTCAATGTGTGTATGACCATTGGACCCCTGACATAAGAATCGCTTGGGATAAATGATTTAACCTGCCATTTGGAGGCCCACCCCCAGGCCTAGCCAATGGGGTTTAGGGGCAGGGCCTTGGAACCTGCACACTATACAGCCTCCAGGGGATCCCATGTGTGGGAAGTTGGGACCCCCTGGCTCAGTTATCTCTGAGGACCCTTCCAGTCCACATCCTGGCATCTTGGAGACCAGGTCCTTGCCTAAGGCAGCCTGGGGTTTGGAAGATGAGTTGCTGGGTTCTCCTCCCCTCCTCCTTCATCTCAACCAGGCCAGGCACAGAGATGGGGAAGGTCTGGCCAGTGAAATCATTTGGCCTGGCCCTGCCAAGGAACTAGGGGTGAGTTAATTAAATGTTTGACCAAATCTAGCAGGCTAATTTTTAAAAATTATTTTGATAATTTTTAAGTTGATAATCTATATATATAAAAAGCCAGTGACCAGAAGGCCTTAATGACCAGAACAACCAGTCGCTATGACACACACTGAGGCCAGCCAACCGGCTGATCAGGGGCGGGGGGTTGGATGGCCAACCCCCCCTCCCCCCAGGCGGGCCCAGCCCGGGATCGCCCACCCCATCCCATCAGCCCGCAGCCCTTCCCCCCAGCCAGCTCCCGCTCCCGATTGCCCCCCCCCACACACACACCAATTGGGGGTGGGGCTGGCCAGCCAACCTCCCATGGCCCCCAATCGCCCCCCCCCCACTCCAATTGGAGGCGGGTCTGCCAGCTAATCACCCATAGCACCTCTCCCCAGCCCACCAGCCCTGATTGCCCCTATGGGGCAGGCCTGCAGGCCAACCTCCCTCATCTCCTCCTCCCCACTGACTCCATCCACCCTGATTGGGGGGAACCCCACACATGCTTGAATTGGTGCACTGGGCCTCTAGTGACATTATAAATATCCAAATGGCCTTTGGCAGAAAAATGCTTCTTTATCACTGCTAGAACAAGAAGCGCCAATTTTTTAACCTCTGGTTGACCTGAAGTAGTTCTTTGGGCGGGGAAGGTTGGGCGGGGAAGGGAGCGTGCACAGATGGAAGACTTCTTGCCCAAGTAAGGAACCCCTGGCTGCCACTGGAAGCGGGGCGCTGTGGTCTTCTGGGCTGTATCCCCTCCCCTGTGTCAGGTGGACAGAGGGCCTGTGGGACTCAGAGAACTGCCGTGTTAAGGGCCCCAGACAGAGCTAGACATGGTGGCTCCAACTCCAGCATTCTGGGCCCTAGAGAGCGCACACCCCCATTCCAGAGGCTCAGGACGCCAAAGAGAGGTAGAGATACCAACTTTCAAAGACATTCCGGGAAAGACCCCGCCTCCCAATATCCTCAGAGAGACTCGGATTTCTCCAGCGGCTAAAGTTCCTCAAGTTCGGGCTGCCCGGAGCCCTCCCTGCAGGGGATTCCCCCCAGGAGGGCCGTTCCCAGATTCCAGAGTCTGAGCAGGGATATGATCCAACAGGGACACTGAGCCCCACGCCCCCTTTTCAAGCGCCCCCACGGAGGAAGAGCTTGCGTCCCCTGCACTCACCTGCGCGCCTCTACAGACTCTAGGAGGCGCAGTCAGTCAGCCCTGGGCTGACCCACCACCTGTTTCTGCTCTGCGCTCTCCCTCTGCGTCCCAGTCCCTCTGCGGACACTCCCTCCCACCGGGCTCTCCCTGCCGCCTCCCTCTGCCCCAGCGTTTGGGGCGCTGGAGCCCAGCGCCGGTTCCCAGCTCAGGGTCCTTCAAGGGATGCTGGAAACCACGAGTTTCCCAGGTCTACATTCCACACACCCTCTTCCCCTGCTCCCAGCCTTGCTCTGTGACCTCTGGCAAGTAGCTGCCCTTCTGAGTCTCAACTCCCAGCCCAACTTTAGGGGCTGCAGAGGGGACCTTGCGCACCTACCGCTGTTCCCTGGACTCGCGCGCGGTGCCGCGCTGCTGGTGGCCTCTCCCTCCGACAGCTCCGGGGCTATGGTGAGCCTGGGATGGCCAGTGACCTGGCCACCCCGCCTCCACCCCCTGCAGCTGCCCTTTTTCTCTTTCATTTTCATTCTCCTCCGCGAGGCTTGGGCCAGACCGCGGAGTAAACAGGCATCCAAGCCTCCCCCTGCTGCGTCTACCACGTGGCTTCTCAGAAGCACCTCTGTGGCACCCCTACACCCCTGGGCGCCTCCAGGGCGTCCCCTGCTGCTGGGGCGCCAGCCTGCCCACGGGCATGCGGTCTGCACGCCCTGGCTTGCAGGGAGTTCATCCCCTTGGTTTCTGTCCAGCTCACCACCGTGAAGGCAGCACACCACGCTGCAGGGCATGTGAACCGGAGCCTGCTCCCTGAGCTTTACTTCCAGGAAGCTGGGTGCCCTTTTCGGGGTGAAACAATGCCTCAGGGACCTGCACTGGAGGTTCAGCCCAGTAACCTGGCATTTCCAATACCACACCCCCTGCCGCATGACTCTTGCCTTCCTCCTCCAGAATCCTGGACCCCTGCCCCGCCCACTCTGAGACCTTTTGAGCGGGCAGGGAGGGGGCGGGGGAAAGGAGGGGTTGCGGGTGTGTGTGTGGGGGGGGTACTTCCCTTCCCAGTCTTGGATTTCCTCACCTGGAACTGAGGGGGTGGGTCAAAGTGGCCCCTCTCTCCCCCTCAAAAACTCCCCCAACAGCCCTGGCCCATAGCTCAGTTGGTTAGAGCATCCACCTGATACCTCAGGGTTGCGGGTTCAGTCCCTGACCAGGGAACTTACAAGAACCAACCAATGAATGTGCAACTATGTGGAACCCCAAATCAATGCCCCCCCCCCTCTCAAATCAATAAATAAAAAAATTTAAAAAGCAAACAAACTTCCCCAACAAGCTCTGGCTGCATCCAACAGAGCTGGCAAACTTGTCATAATCTGGGGTTCAGAGGAAGCCACACATTTCAACAGTGTTTGAGCAAAGGAGTCCCACCACTTCCCACCACACAACAATGGTCACACCAATAATATCGGGCTCCTATGATGACAGTCAGTTCCTACAATGTGCCAGGCACTGGGCTAGACCCTTTAATCCCTCACCATTGTCCTGTCAGAAGACACTTCCCCTTCTCCCATTTTACAGCCCAGGAAAATGGCCTCAGAGAGGGCTGGCGACAGGTTCAGTGTCACACCGCAGCCAGCCCACCCTGCAGCCGGGATTCAAACCTGTGCTCTGACTTCAGAGCTGGTGCAAGTTGTCTGTACTACGCTGTCTCTCGCCATCTGTCCCCTGTCCCCCAAAACACCACTTGGAAACTGGGGAGAGGGCAGCGTCTGTCCAGGGGCCAGCTGGCTGAGGCTCAACAACTATACCAAGGGGCTGACTCTGGCTTTGGTTTCCCTGCTTCTCTGAGGATGGGGTGCGGTCTGGCAGGAGTCCCGTGTCCTTCAAGGGCACCCCTCAGTGTTTACCTGGCAGCTAGAGGGCCTTGTGATTGGCCAAGCCAGGCCACCGATGCTGAGAGCTAACAACACACCCTCTGAAAGTGGGCCCTCAGAACTCTTCAAGGGCTGATAAAACCCTCTCACATCCCAGGCATCTGGACTGACTGCCCCTCAAGTGGAAGGAAACGGCCAACCACCTCACTTCTTCCAACAGCTATAGCTGGACTAGGGCCCTCTCTCTTACCCCCCAAGTCCCCCCTCCAGAATGTGTCTGTTTATTTGGGATGGCAAGACCAGCTGGGACCACCCTAAATTAAGAAGCATCCTCAACTTCCTCCACCCACTTTCTTACCTTGGGGCTCTGGCAGGTAGGACCCCGCAGGGCGTGGAGCCAGGCAACGCATGGTGTGGGAGATGCAGCGAGTCCAGCAGTCCCTCCTGGTACCCTCAGCCTGCCCAGTGGTGCTTTCGGGTGCTCAGCTCAGGAGCAGGCAGCCTCATCTCTAGCCTGTTTCCTTACAGCAGTCAGGTCAGGACAGGAGCCCGCCAAGACTAAGCCAGCATGCAAAGAAAGCCAGCAAGGGACCAGCAGAAAACTCTGCCCCTACAAGGTGGCTTCAAGCTCTCAGATCTCTCTGTTCTAGACACCACCTAATTTGTCCACACTCCCTTAAAGCCAAACTCCCCAGCCTCTGTTAATTTCAGTTCCTGTTGTGGACAAAAATGGGGTGACTGAAGGAGGTTGTAAAGTTGTTTGTTGGGCTGCCCTTCAACACACTAACATTCAGAAATGATGGAGAGCACAGTGGTGCCAGATGCCAATATGTGCCGTACTCTGCAGGATGGGGCCAGGACTAGAGACCCCCAAATATCCTAGATTCCACTCCCCTCCACCACTACCCTTACATCAAGTCACCCTGAATTTCCCTGCACAGCATGAGTGGTTTGCCCATCATTTTATTCCAAGACATTGAACTGAAACATAAATTACAAAAAGGCGCTACCCAAAACATGGGATATGTGCCCAGTGTTTGGAGTGACACGCAGATGTGGTGGCAAATAGCTTTGACTCGCCCAGGGAGAAAGTTAGTGCCCTTGCAAGCCCCTGCCCATGTTCCTGAGGGCATCAAGGAGACAGTCTCAGTTTGGGGCTATGTCTTTAGCACCTAATGTCTGAGGTCCCCATTTCACAGAGAGCAGCCCCCAGCCTCAAGCCTTCGGTAGACAACAGTATTTGTCTAGAATCAAACAACATTGCTCTCTTTTCCTATCTCCTGTGTGGCATTCTTCTTCATTTATGACAGACACAAACTCTCCTTAGGGAATAAAGTTGAATGAAAAATGTGAGTGCTTTGAAAGAAACTGTCAAGTAAATAATAGTGTAGGTGGTAGGCAGACATCATGAGGGTGGTACTGAAATGAAAGAAGTTTGGGAAACAAGCACTTAAGAGCCTCATGCATTTTTACTGAAAGTGCACTGGGTTGGGCCTGGCCAGTGTAGCTCAGTGGTTGAGCATCGACCAAGGAACCCAGAGGCCACAGGTTCCATTCCTGGTCAGGGCACATGCCTGGGTTTCGGGCTCAGTCCCTTGTGCTGGAGGCAGCCAATCGATGATGTTTCTCTCTCATCGATATTTCTATCTCTTTATCCCTCTCCCTTCCTCTCTCTCTAAAAAAATCAATAAAAAAACATAAAAAAAATAAAAGCACTGGGTTAGGAGCGTGAAGAGCTGTCACTAGCAGGTATGTGACCTTGTGTAATAGGCAGTTAGACGGACATCAGCAGAGCAAGGACGATGGGCCAAGTACAGAAGGTCACCAGGGCAGAAAGCCCGGTGTCTGGCAATAGGCTAAACTGGGAAAATAAGGACCTTGCCCCTAAGGCAGCGGTTCTCAACCTGTGGGTCACGGCCCCTTTGAGGGTCGAACGACCCTTTCACAGGGGACGCCTAAGACCATCGGAAAACACATATATAATTACATATTGTTTTTGTGATTAATCACTATGCTTTAATTTTGTTCAATTTGTAACAATAAAATTGGGGGTCACCACAACGTGAGGAACTGTATTAAAGGGTGGCAGAATTAGGAAGGTTGAGAACCACTGCCCTAAGGTAACCTTTCCTCCCCTAGCATTGCTGGTCATGCGATCTAGACACTCAGACTTTTTATCCCTAAAGGTAACATCTAGGCCTCAGTTGTGTTTTAGCTCCAGGCCCAGAAAAGCAGCAAAACCGGACAAGTGCCTCTGTGGCTGCCTCAGGACCACCGACAGAGACTAATGACCCCCTGCCCTGGCTCTGACCAATCAGCGAAGACCACGACTCTGAAAGAGGGCACCTGGAAAGCTGATGGATATTCTACTAAGACCTTCCCCTGAGACCTCCCCTAAGACTCCCACCTGCAAGACAGAGACAAATACCCTCAGGATGAAGACTCAGTGGGCGCTCTCTCCCTCTGGGGACCACACTGTGCCATTCCCTGCCCCCTTACTTTCCCCCACAGGTGTGCATCTCCTAATGTCTAAGGCCGTGGTTGGCAAACCGCGGCTCGCGAGCCACATGCGGCTCTTTGGCCCCTTGAGTGTGGTTCTTCCACAAAATACCACGTGCGGGCGTGCACATACAGTGCGATTGAAACTTCGTGGCCCATGCGCAGAAGTCGGTTTTCGGCCTGGGCGAGACTATTTTGAAGAAGTACTGTTGATATTTGGCTCTGTTGACTAATGAGTTTGCCGACCACTGGTCTAAGGGACCCAGGACACTTACAACCAGGGGAGAAATGGGCAGCTCCTTCCGTGCTAACCCCCTGACCCTGTCTCCAAGGCCCTTTTCTCTGACTTCTCAGTGAGCCAAAGCAGCCCGGCCGAGGCCCTCCTGGAGCTTCTTCCATGCCCTTCCTCGTTTCCCTGTCCAGGTGTGTTTTTGCCATGGCCAATAAATTCTTGCTTGCTTTGCTGCACTTCGTCTCTTGACTGAAATCTTTCCTTTAAGAAGATAAGAACTGAGGTTTCCTTATCTCACCGGCAACACTTGGACCCCTCACTTCCCTTGTGTGGGCCTCAGTTTCCCCATATGAAATGAGGATAACGATGCCTATTTTTGTATGGTGGTTATTTTGAAACAGTCACTGCATTCAGAAGTCCCAGGAGAGGAAGTAGGCAGACAAATAAGAAATGCTAATAGTCAACTTAGAAATGCTAAGAGTCAATCTGAAACAGAGTCCTGCTTTGGTAGGCTAACAAAACAGAAGGGACGGATATTAGAAATTCCAAGAATTCTCACAGTCCCATGACCTGGTGCCAAGAGAGGCATCCCTGGCCATTCAGCTGCCTTGAGGCCACCTATGGGAGTCCCTTCCTGTCCTCAGACGCAGCCAGTTTCAATGGCCAAGGCCAAAGCAGTTCTGAGTCGGCTTCATGGCAGGGCAGAGCTTGCAGTGAGAGTCAGCCAGGCCTGGAGGTGGGCCTGCCCGGATGCCATCATCTCTCACATGGGCGATAGCAGCAGCCTGCCACCTGGTCTCTTCACATCCCCCCTGGCCCCTCCAGACTCACACTCCACAAGACCAGAATCTGATCATGCCTGTGTCAACGCAGAAGGTCTCTGAGCTGATCAGTGACATGTGCTAGTCTGTGTGATTGGCTGGTGGCAGAGCCTGTAGACCAGTACAAGGAGGGTCTGGGTGGAGAGAGGCACAGTGCTGCCTTGCCAGGAGCTGATGGGGGTCTGAATTCCAGCAGCCTGATGGTGGAGAGATGAGGAGAGAGTCAGGCTGGTGCCGAGTAGAAGACAAGCCTCCTGAACTGAGTGGATAGGGCAAGGAGTGGGTGGGCAGGTTACCGGTTAAGCCAAGCCCAGATTTTCTCCCTACGAAAGCATCCTGTATTCCTGCTGATGTTCCTCTTCAAAACTCCCCCAGAGGTGGTGACCATTCTCTTGAGCCCAGGGCTCCATACCTTCCTGCTGAGGGGCCTTCTCACTGCTACTGAAGCCAGCCTTGCCCTGGGCATCTGAATGTCTCTGTCTTAAGTCAGGATCTAGCATGACAAAGAGACCTCTCCTTCCCCACAGGCATGCATCCCCGAAACTCTAAGGGACCCAGGAGACTTGCAACCAGGGGAGCACGGGCAGTGGCAGCTCGTCCCAGGCTAACCCCCTGAACCTGTCTCCAAGGCCCCCTTTTTTCTGACTTCTCAAAGCAGCCCAGCCGAAGCTCTCCTGTTGCTTCTCTGCCCTTCCTTATTTCACTGTCCTGAGGGTGTTTTTGCTGCAGCCAATAAATTCGTGTTTGCTTTGCTGCACTTTGTCTCTTGACTGAAATCTTTCCTTCAAGACAAGAACCAAGGGCTCATCATCTCACTGGTAGTAGTGCTAAATGAATGATTAAGGAGGAGGAAAGGAAGAAGGTGAGAAAGGAAGGAAAGAGATCAGTGAATAGAGAGCTAGGTACTAGAGGAAGCATGTCAAACTCATGGCCCGCGGGCCCCATGCTGCCCACAGTGAATATTTTTGTGGCCCAGCCAATATAACGGTATGTAAGAAACGTTTTAATAAAAATTTTGTAACTTAATTTTTACAATATCCTGTTCTACATAATCATTAATAATGAACTACAACATTCGCTAATGACTAATTACTATAATCATGTTGCATCCATTTCCCTTACATGCCTTACTCGAAGGCTCACCATTTCTCTCCACTAATACTAGCAGCGAATATTTTAGCAGCCAATTGCCATGTCATTAGTCTTGGACTGACTTGTTTGGTGTGCGCAACTGGAAATACTTTGCTTTCGGAGAACAAGAAAAATAGGTTTATTTGCGTTACGCATATTAATTTGTGCAGTTATTTAGTGTCTGGTAAGTTAATGTTCAAGAAAAAATATTAATTTTTATTAAAATGTTCTATTATTTTATGTTAACAATTACTCATTTATTTCAGCCCTTTGAATTCAGCACGTTTCTATCGAAATAAACCTACGTTTCTATGAAAATTGAAGCTTTTGTTTTTTTGCAGCCCGCATAAACTTAAACCTCATTTATTTGGCCCATGTTAGCCTTTGAGTTTGACATGCTTGTACTAGAGATAATAAAACTGTATGCAAATTAGGCAGGTAAGGAGGTATATGAGAACATAAGCCCATCAGCAGGTATTATACAAACGGATTAGTTGATACATAAGTATATAGGCAATTAGATAAATAGAAAGACTGATAAGTTGATACATAGATATAAGTAAATAGTAGGTGGGCAGGTAAACCAAGTAAGTTAGAGGGCAAGCAAGTAGGTGACTGGAGAGACCAATAAACAGTAAGTAAAAACACAGGTGTGCTGTTCAAGGTAACAACAACAGAGAACAGAAACCGTCTGTGGTTGGCTCAGGCATCAGGCATGGAGCCAAGCCGAGTATGGAATAGGCAACTGGTCAGCCTGGGAAAAACCCATAGGGAAGTGCCAACTTCCTGGTGCAGGTGATTCTCCTTCTGTGGTTCCTGCGGGTGAAGGTGAAATGGGTCTGACTGGCTGAGAAGCCGTCCAAGGTGAAAGGACAATAGTCATAATAGTTCGTTCGCCAACTTGTCTCCTTCCAGGAGGTACAGGAGACTCTCCATTGGAGCAGGACCAGGTTCAGGGAAAGGAGGGAGGTGGGCGGGAGGGCACAGCTCCTCTCCTCTGTGGCCCTGGCCCTGGGGCTCTCATCCGAGGGCCAAATGGGGAAGGAAGCTGGAGGAAGGGCTTGGCAGCCTGGGCTGCCCCTCCCTTTCCAATAAATCAGGCAGCATCCTCGAGGGGGCTTTGTTCTACGGTTCCTAGAACAGAGTTCTCATGAAAACAGAGGCAATGAAACACAAAGGAAAGACAAAGAAAACACTAATATATAAAATCAATGGGGGAGAGGGGTGTTCTACAGCCTCTTGGAAAAGTGCCCTGCTGCCCCTCACTCTGTTCACAAACCCAGGGGCAGTGACATTGGCATTCACCCACAGTTACCTTTCTATTCCACCTCTAGTCTGCGCTTGCCCCAAAGGCTGATGAGTTAGAACCAACTTTCCTCTTGCCAGAAATGCATGTGCTTTATGTTAGATGAGGTCACTGAATCCTCAGATCCCCACTCTGGGGACTGTTATTACCTCTACTTTTTAGATGGGGAAACTGAGGCTCAGAGGGGTCCCAGGAAGTGCTCTCAGTCATACCCCTTGGAATCAGGGAGTCATAACTGGAACTCAGGCCCTGAGGGCACAGCCCAATTAACCAATGTGCCAATCTGAGGGCAGGGGCCACACTGCCTCATAGCTCAGATGTCCACAGCACCCGAGCACTCAGCAATGTGTTTGTGCATGAAATGAGTGTCTAGATATTATCTGAGGCTCCCAATGAGACTGCAGACACAATTGTTTTCTCAACTCCTCAAACTGCTGGTTTATTACTTTCATGTCCAGTTCTCCTTACGGTTAAGCGCCCCTAGAATTATTTGTCTAAAGCCAAGCACTACCATGGAAAGTTTCCAGCTGCCATTTCATTTAAGCCCCACCATAGCCCTGGGAGGTTTATAACACCACTCCCATTTTAGAAATGAAGAAACTGAGGGTCATAGTGGTTTAATTACATGGCCAGATCACACAGTTGTAAGGAGCTGAACTGGGCCTCAGACCCAGAGCAGTCCAGCTTCCAGCCTGGTTCTTTCCCCGCCACTGCCTTCCTAAGTCTCTCTTTTCTGGCCTTGGATTGCCCTTCCAGGGGTGGTCGCCCACTGTCAACCAAAGAATGCCTGGGCATTTGCTCTGATTCCCCAGTGAAGCTGCTGCATTCTGTCAGGACAAGGACCTTGGCCCCTGGGCCTCCCTGAGCCTGCCTGGGGCTGGATGCGCATGTGCTGCTTTGTGTAGCAGAGTCAGACTCCCAAGGCCACAGTCCCAGAAGTGGGCTTTCTGCACAACTGCCGCAGTCAGTATCGGAAGGTGCCTTCTGAATCATCAGGCTGGTTTCATTTTGAAGCTGGTTAACCGGTTTTTGGTACTTTTACGGTATTCCTTTGAGTTGTTCAAAAGAGGCAGCCAAGCAGAAAGTGCAGCAATAGATCTGGACTTGAGAGATCCAATAGCTTCCCTCTGCAGGCCATGACCTGAGGCAAATTACTTAAGCTCTTCGTGCTTCAGTTTACTCATTTGTAAAGTGAGAATGATGGCAATAAGTGACCTATCCACCTACCTACCCATCCACCCACCACTCATCCACCCATCCATCTACCTATTTATCACCCGTCCACCTACCCACCCACCCACTCATCCCTTCACCCACCCACTCATCTACCCACCCATCCATCCATCTCTCCATCCACCCTACCCACCCACTCATCCATCCATCCATCCATCCATCCATCCATTCACCCAACATTCAACAAATACATACTGCACACCTATCCTATGCCAGGCTCCACGCTAGGCAGTTGAGATGCATCTATGATCAAAACATAGATCTCTGACCACGTGGAACTTATTTTCTAATGGGAGAACCAGACAGTAAACAACAGCACACAAAAATAAAATACATAGAAGGTGAAATGTCAGTCTGGGGGGTGGGGGTGGTCTCAGAGTGTAGAGGGGCAGTTGCAATTCTAGATGAGATGGTCAGGGCGGGCCTGGTTGAGAAGGTGACATCTGAGCAAAGAGCTGAAGGACGTTAGGTGGTTGGCCAAGAGGGTATCTGGAGAAGAGTGTTCAGGTGGAGGGAACTGCAGGTGCCAGGCCTGTCCCAGGAACAGCCGGGGGCCAGCATGGCTGGAGTATGAGCAAGCACAGGTAGGTGATGAGCGCAGAGAGGTGATGGGAACCAGAAGGGTCTTGTAGGCCATTGTCCCGATTTAGCTTCTCCTCTGAGTGACATCAGGGCCAGTGCCGGGTTTAGAGCAGTGGAGGGTGAAGATCGTTATGGGGTTGTGGAGAGAGTTACAAAACTTCACATGATGATTGCCTTTTCTGAACCCTCAGTGAAACTACAATGAGTGCAATTAATTTATAAATCACACTCTTTCCCGTTCTTCGCCCCCCTGAAGGCTGCTCCCTCTCCCGTGCACCACAGCCACACACCTGCCTAGGCCTGGGTCAAGCCTCCAGCCCTGAGGACAGCTGGCCTGGGGACAGTGTGGACGAAAAGGGGCCACATGCTAACCTGACCAGCTCAGGGAAGGCCTGCATGGTGGCCTTGCAAACTCAGACCTAAAGTAACCACAAAGGATGGTCTAAAATTAAAGTTTTTTAAAATTAAAAGGCAGTTTATAATGAGTAGATATGTCCTAGTCCGGTATCTTCCCTGTAAAAGATCAACTTTGATCGTGACTGAGCCTATTGTGTTTTTACAATATCAGGGTAACTTGTAACTTCTCTTTTTAGGGACCCCTCAGGACACAACCAAAGCAGGAGGGCAGAGATTACAAATTCCCTCACTGTTACTGTTACCATATTAATTGTTGACTGTTAACTATCCTGTCCCCACCTCCGTAAAAGAAGCATGTGCCTATCATTTTACTTTTTATCCGATCCCAGAGGTTCCCTGCCCTCCCCCCTTTGCTTTCTCCCACCTCCCTAATCTATCACCAATGGATTTCATGCAACCCACTTATGTCTCCTCCTTTGATGGTAATTTATAAAAATAGGTGAAAAACCACCCGTTCTCCCAGAGCATTATCTCACTACATTGAGATTTTACTTCCTGGCCATTGTCGACAGTTTGGCTCACACTCATAAAAATTCTTTGCAGGTTTGAATGTTTCTTATGTTGACAACAGAAAGAGCAGAAAAGAGAGTTGCCATTCTCTGTCTCTCAGCCTCCTGAAGACCATGGGACCCTGAGCTCAGTTCTCTTTCTAGAGTCATGTGGGGTCAGAAATAAATATATTACATCCCCAGGGAGGAAACACAGTTAATAACAGGAACCCGAGAGAGGAGGAGGGAGGAGCGGAGGTGTCGGAAGGAACATGCAGTTGGGGGGTGGGGGGGCTTGTCTAGAAGAGAGGAAGGCTTCGACTTCCCCCAAGGTTGGCCTCTGCACTGCCCAGTGCCCCCCTCCCAGACCACCAAGTGGGTGAGGGCGCTCAGGTAAGCAGTCAGGGAGATCATTCAGATGTGAAAGGTGTGTCCAGGAGACCACCTGGGTGCGAATTTAACCACAGAGAGCCAAAACCATGTAAACTTATGTCTTGGCAGAAGAGTTGGAGAAATTACTGCACCACCCTGAGGCCTAAAGGCAAGACCATCAAAAGGCTCATTCCCCTCCAGGCCAGGTTGAGGATAAAAGCTTATCTGTCTTCAAACCCTGCCTCCACCACTTCCCACCTGGGGACCCAGAGTTGTGTCACCTCTGAGCAGTGTCTGCTTTCTTCTTTAGGTGTAGAATAAGGCTGGAGATCAGCAAAGGGCTTAGGATGGATGTGGGAACCATCTAAAGAGGTGCTTGAATGGGCTAGGCCAGTGGTCGGCAAACTCATTAGTCAACAGAGCCAAATATCAACAGTGCAACGATTGAAATTTCTTTTGAGAGCCAAATTTTTTAAACTTAAACTATATAGGTAGGTACATTGTTATGAACTTAATTAGGGTACTCCTAAGGCTTAGGAAGAGCCACACTCAAGGGGCCGAAGAGCCGCATGTGGCTCGCGAGCCGCAGTTTGCCGGCCACGGGCTAGGCTGTGCCTGGCGCACAGTAAATACTTCCGCAAAGTGAATCACTGCTATTATCCCAGGTTTCCAAGTTACTCTGAAGCCATAAAGGGACCAAGAAGGAGTAGGAATTTATGACGCCAAGTCATAAAATTGGAAAGGCACAGATTTGCATAGAGGAGAGAGGACAAACACATGTCTTTGGGAAGAAGGTTGTTTGCAACAAAGAGAACCTCTTTGTAACTCTGGGGAAGACCTAACGTGTTTGAGGAGCCAAGGCTGTGAGTGACACGGTATCGTGTGGACTTGTTTTGTCTGATTTAAGATGCATCAAGTGTCAATGCTCTTTAAAAATAAGACACTCTCTCCCTCTGATCTACTTCCTATTGCCTGTCTCTCTTTCTCTCTCTTTCTCCCTCACCCCCTTTCTACTGCTCTTTCTCCCCCACCCACTCTCTCCCTTTTCCCCTTTCTCCCTTCCTTCCTCCCTCCCTCCTCTCCATCTCTGTCTGTCTCTGTTCCTTTATATTCTGTCTCTCCCTTCCTTTCTCTCTCCCTCTCTGTCCTTTGGTTTCTGTCTCTATCCGTGACACAGATGCACATACATAGAAATGCATTACATGCACATATATGCCCACACACATGCACACAAGCACACTCACATGTGTGCATGTATACATATGCATACACAGCATCCTCTGCTCTCCAGCCCTTTGGTCCCTCCTGTCTGCGGCATCTCATTTCTCTATCACTGAACCACACTGATTGTGCCTGCATCCGTCTTCCCCACTGGACTGTGAGCCCCTTGCATGCAAGCCTGGATCTGTCTATCTGTGGCTCCCAAGTGCCCAGTACAGTGCCTGACACTTCAAGGCAACTCAGAGAGTAAACCAAATGGGCATTATGCCTCCAGGAGGATTTTTTTGTTGTTAATCCTCCATTGATTTTTTTTTAGAGAGAATGGAAGAGAGGGAAGGAGGGAGAAAGAGAGGGAAATATCCATGTGAGAGAGACACATGGATCGGATGCTTCCCACACGTGCCCCTTCAAGGCCAGATATCGAACCTGCAACCCTTCGGTGCGAAGGCCGACACTCCAACCACCGAACTACATCAGCCAGGGCAGGAGGATTTCCTCTTTAGCAGAGTGGGAAGCTCGCTGTATGCCTCCAGCACGCCCATCATCACAGATTGAGTTCTCCAAGCCCTTGCGGCTCCTGCCAGCTCCACCAGAAGGTCTGATTCCTGTCTAAGTCTGCCTTCCCATCTTGGAACAGGAATGATCACATTGACTTTCCTTTCAGAGAGGAAGGGGAATCCTTGAGGTGCCAAGGGCCAGTCGTTGCTCCTGGAGCAAAGGGGATGTCAACTTACCACCATGGTCCTTGTAGCCGGGGTCCCTCTCAACCACTGGGCCCTGCAGCCCACTCCAGGCCCATCCCAAGAGGGCCAATTCTGGGTCTCCTTTCTGCAGCAGCGTCAACGAGATCTTCCTGGCCAGAGCCTCGCCGTCAGGCTCCTGGAGCAGGGCGCAGTGGTACTCCCTGGAGAGAAGCTGCTCCTCCAGCAGGTTGTCCAGGAGGGCCTGCACCTGGCCCCGCTGATGGCTGGAGAGCAGCATCCGGACCTGAGTCAGGATGGTCTGGAAGTGGTTCATGGCAGCGCTCGGAGGAGGGCAGCTGCCCGTGGCCAGAGCCTGGGATTTCTGCTCACCCAGCCTGCAGCATCCAAAACATGAAGTGAAAAACAGGATGAGGGAACCTCTGCAGTTTATTGCAATTTATTCCTGCTTAGGAAGAGTTCCTCATTTGCATTGTAGGCTGGGGTTCCTGGTGAACGGTTGGAAATGGGTTCGTGGGTGGATTCAGACCCCACTGGCATTTGCAGGTACCACCAGTGTGCACGTGCAGAGAAGCCCACAGCTGTGGATTCCATTCGATCTGGTATTTACTGAAATTCCAGCTCGTTATTTACTGAAAGAAAGGGAGCCTGACTCTTCCAGGACCTCTCAGGTGAAAGGCCTTTTCAGATGTTTTATCAGCACAGGAAGGCAACTGGGGCATAAAGGTTAAGCAATTGGGTTTAGAGCCTGCGTTCAAATCCTAGGTCCACTGTTTGCTAATTATGTGACCTTGAACAAGTTATTCAGCCTCCATTCTTCCACCTGAAAAGGTAAAGTGATAATAATAGTATTTACCTCATAGAGTTGGATGGAGTGATAATAATAGTACGTACATCCAGTGTTTATAGAATACCTATTATCTACAATATGATAAATATGAGCCATTATTTTAATTTTCATTGCCATTATTATTATTATTGATTAATCATGCCAACAATTCTGTGTCATCTTGGGTTCAACCTCACTAAACTTCAGTTTCCTCCTCTGCAAAATTTCCTATGAAAAGTAATCCAATCTCATCTAGTTTTCTTGAGGATTACAAGAGATAATGAATGCATTTAAGGGTCTCAGCATTAGACCTAGTAAGTATGTAATGAACATTAACTATCTATATATATGAAAAGCCAGCAACCACAACATCATAACGACTAGAATGACTGGTCGCTATAACGCCCACTGCGGCCAGCGAACCACCTGGTCAGGGGGTGGGGTCGGCCAGCAAACCTCCCACCATCTCCTCCTCCCAACAGACCCGGCCCCAATCCGCCCCGATTGGGGCCTGGCTGGCCAGATACCACCCGTGCATGAATTTGTGCACTGGGCCTCTAGTATACTAATATTATCCCCAATTTAGTAATGCACAAAAGAAAGGTTTTGCACAGGAATAGGTCTCTTTCAAAATTTTACTCTAAAAATCCCCAACCTAACTTTTTTTCATAGCTGACTGCTCTCACTGCCCATTCTGAAACATAACCATGACCTGGTTTCCTCTCCTGGCCTCAGCTTTACCATCTCTTAGATGAGACCATTTGCATTCGCTCATTTTTATGAGACAAATAAGGATTGCCATTTCCAGTATGGTTGAGTGGCTCCTACCTGAACAACTCTACCACAGATAACAACTATAAACTCTGGAGAAAAATATAAAAATAACTACCTGGAGGTACTGGAGAGTGACCAGAGACGGCAGATACTAGAAGGGAGTCAACTTGTGGAAGATAAGACTATCACTGGTGAATTCTCAGCTCACAAGTTTAGTGTGAGGGAAGGTCACAATCACTGTTGTGCCAGACAAGTAAAACTGTTGAAACATACAAAGTGTTACTGCCCTAAATGACCAGAGGACAGAATTTGGGATAACAATCCCTGCTGGAAAATGGGGGTTGAAATTTGAGAAAGGAGAGAGGCACAGAGAAGTTGCTCCAAATTCTATGCATAAACTGCCCAAATATTTAGCTGACCTCCAAATAGTTCAGCTAAGGCTAAAGGAACTGAACTGAGAATTGAGTTGCAACCTACTATGGGGGTGCGGAGTGGATGGGAGACTTTGCATTTGATGCCAACCAAGTTATGACCTGCTAAAATAACAAAGAAGTGAACGCTGTTCCTATTATAACAGAATCCAGAGTGTTTACAATCTTTCATTCATGATGTGCAGCATCTATTCAAAATGACTTGACTATAAAGAAACAGGAAAAAGAGACCTAGAGTGGAGAGAACACTGGGGCCAGTGCTAGGCTAGATGCACTGTACCTGCTTGTGTATCTTGTAAGTAGCCAGCTATTTTCAGTTACCATACCAGAACCTCTTCTCATAGACCTATTAGTGCATCTGTAACTGGATTGATTTCTTAATATATTGGAAGGTTTTTGTTTCCTTAAACTAGTAAGTCATCATACAGAGTTTTATTTTGAGTTTTTCTTTTTGTGCACTGTCCTCATGACTATACTCTCCAGAGAACTCATTCCTCTAGGAATCATATTTAATGAAGATATTTCCACATTGAAGTGAGGTAGGTGGGGTATTAAAATGAAAGGGAGGGGGTCGATGCATTTTATTCTGGACTATATTTGAAGTATTAGATGGCTAAGTATTAAAAGCATTCAAATTAAATCCTTAGCAATCAGAACACTTGCTTAATTAGATTTTGCCAATAGCTAATCTGTTCCTCTTTCTGAAACTATTGAGGAAAATAATTAACAATAAAACTTCCTGTTATAAAGGCAAATAATTAATAATAATAATAAAATAAAGCGCAGAAATTCTGTGAAGCTTAGTAAATTCCATGCAGGATAAATGCAATGAAACTACACCTAGGCACATCAGAGTCAAACTGCTGAAAAACAGATCAAAACAACTTGTTACATACAGGAGAGCATTAGAAACCATCAATGCCAGAGACAGTGTAACTATACCGTAGGTCCTTGGGTTACGTTGGAGATCTGTTCCTAATGCGCGACGTTAACGTGATTTTCACCGTAAGTCGGAACCCACCTATATAAGCACCTACGTCACTCACATGGAGCACATACACAGCAGTAATGAAGTGAAACAGTAAAAAAAAATTTTAAAGAAAGATAACAATTTCTGACCTTTACTTGTGGTAAATAAATAATAAAAAACACAAAGCACATATGTACATACATTGAAATGACATGACACTTTTTTTTTTTTTTTACAAATAAATGGGAGATAGTGACATAACCACGAAACGATGTACGTCGAGTCTGATGTAACCCGAGGACTGCCTGTATCTTGGAAGAACTGAGAGGAAAAGAAATTGTCAACCTAGATTTCTAAACCCAGTGAAAATAGTCTTTAAAAATGCAGAAAAGATAGATATTTTCAGGTAAAAAAAAAAACACATAAAAAACTAAAAGAATGTGTTGCATCAGGCCTGCACTTCAAGAATTGCTAAAGTAGCCCTAGTTGGTTCAGCCCATGGACTGAAGGGTCGAGAGTTCCATTCCCCAGTCAAGGGCATGTACCTTGGTTGCAAGTTTCCAATCAGTGTGTCTCTCTCACATTGATGTGTTTTTCTCTCTCTCTCCCTCTCTCCCCTCCCTTCTACTCTCTCTAAAAATCAATGGAGAAAATATCCTCACTCCTGGGGTGAGGATTTAAATAAAGCTAAAGTAAGTTCTTTATGTGGAAGGTAAATAATACCAGTTAGAAACTCAGATCTACAGGGATGGTTGAAGAGCAATAGAAATAGTAATCTCTGGGTAAATATTTAAAAGTTGTTTTTTCTCTTATTTAAAAACATTTTTTAAAAAAGCAAAAGTTATAGCATTGTCTTGTGACTTTTAAATATATGTATATACTAAAGGCCCAGCACACAAAATTCGTGCACAGGTATGGTCCCTAGGCCTAGCCTGTGATCAGAGCCATCTTCCCTGGCTGCCCACAGCCAGCCCCACCCCCAGTGCGGGTCACTCTGTGTGTGGGGGGCAACCGGCGGGGCGGGGGCCTTGGCTTGGCGCTGCCCGCATGCCCCGCCACCCACCCCCAGTTCCCTGTTTACCATCAGGCGATTGTAGCCTGCCGGCTGGGGAAAGGGACCAAAAGGTGGTAAGTGCGCCTCATAGTGACTGGTCCAGTGGTTGTTCTGGTCATTCTGCCTTTAGGGTCAATTTTCATAATACCCTTTTATTATATAGGAATAGAGACCTGGAGCACGGGTGGGGACCAGCTGGCCTGCCCTGATGGGGGCCTCCAGATTCAGGTGGGGGGGTCCCTGATGGGGGGTGGGGCTAGCCTGGGCGAGGGGTGAGAGTGGTTTGCAGGCCGGCCACAACCCCAATAGGAGTGGGGGTCCCTGCTGGGGGTGGGGCAGGCCTGGGCGAGGGGCCACGGAGTTCTGGTCTCTGGTCATTCCAGTCGTGATGGCGTTATGGTCCTTGGCTTTTTATATATATAGATAATATATACGATGACTATAGCATAAAGGATGGTTGGACCTATACAGTTGCAAGGCTTCTATATTTTATATCAAGTAGGAGAAACGGAAGATGTATATTATAATCCCTTTTGCAACCACTAAAACATATTGTAAAGGGATATAGCTAAACAGCAACTAGAAATTAATACAGACTTTTAAATGAAATGGATTCTCAACTCTTGGTTTGAATGAGCAGTCAACAAGATCATGACATTATAAATTTTGTGCATAAAGGCAGAAGGGGAAATTACCCAGCTCTTATTCTCACCTAACAAAGTATGTATGCTTTTAAGCAAACAGAGATGTCAATGTAAATATTACTCCCAGGGCAACAAATTATCAATTAAGATAGTTGAAATTGCATACTTTATAAGCATTAAAGAGAAAATTCACAGGGCAAATCAATAATTTTTTGCAGGCTGGGATCTTAAGACTCATTTGTACAAATAACACTTTCAAGAATTTGTGAACATGGAAGTCACTGGTGAAATTGGCAAAAGCAATTTTAGGTGATGGATGGAAGCACAGAAAGACAAACTAGGGGAAGAATGACTTCAAGTTGAGAAAGTAAAGGGGGATAATTCTGACAGCTTGTTGTTGGAGGAGGTCAAGAGAACCTGCCCACTAGTTGACCCTTGAGCTGGACCTGGACAGTTGAATACTCTTCACCACCTCCCCTGCCCTTGGAATATAGGTTCTGCCCACTGTTCCCAGAGCCAGAGCCATTTTCAAGGACACAGCCTTGAGAAAGCAATGTTTTGTTGACCATCTGGATGGTGTGTGTGACTGAGCCCAGTTAAGACCTCTTTGTAACTTTTAAGATTCTGGCAGGAGGATGTGGAAATCTACTTGTCTTTTA